ATTAAAATACATATGTGTACATATATATATATATATATATATATGCATATACATATATATAAATATAAATATAAACATAAAAATAAAATATAAATATAAATATAAATATATATAGAACAACCAATATATACACTTTACATATGCATACATATAAAATATATATAGCAGCAGCAGCAGCAGAATTAGCAGCAGCAGCAGAAAACAGCACAGACGACAGTCGAAACTGCAACAGCAGCAACAATCATCAGACGCAGCAACAGCAGCAGCACAACCACCGGCAGCAGAAGCAGCAGCAGCAGCAGCAGCAGGTTACCTGATGCGAAGGTATTTGCATACATTTGATTGTTATCGAGGAGCACATCACCAGGTGTACATACACCTGGAGAAACATTTAAAGATGCAGGGCTCAGCTGCACAGCAGTCTTTCCTGCTGCTGCTGCTGCTGCTGTTGCTGCTGCTGTTGGTGGTGATGCATGCAGTGTAGCGGGGCTGTCGCTAAAGCTCCCCCAGCTGCACCAACCCGAACCGCTGCTGCTGCCGTTGCTGCTGCTGCTGCTGCTGCTGCTGCCGTCTGCAGCAGCAGCATTTAAGCGCATGCCCCGGGAAGAAGCAGCAGCAGCAGCAGCAGCACTTTGGCTCATCTGCGCGTTGTGCAGTTCATCAGCAGATCCTGTTGCTGCTGCTGCACCATCTGCTGCTGCTGCTGCTGCTGCAGTTGGAGGCGCTTCCGTCGCATTCCCAGCAGCAGCAGCAGCAGCAGAGTCATCTGCTGCATACTGCATGAATGCGTGCATACCTTCATTTGAATAAGACAAAGAAGAAGACGAAGAGAAAAACCCTGTTTGCTGCTGAAGGCCTGAGCTACCAGGCGCTGCTGCTGCTGCTGCTGCTGCTGCAATATGCATTGGATGGTCGTCTGCTGCTGCGCCTTCATACAGTGCTAAACACCCCTCCTCACACAACATACCCTGCTGCTGCTGCTGCTGCTGCTGTGTCAGGAGGGAGAATCCGTGGGGGCCGACAGCAGCAGCAGCAGCAGAAGCAGCAGCAGGGCGTGTTGCTGCACAGTCTGCTGCAGCAGCAATTTCTGTTTGGCTTGAGGGGTTTAAAAAGGAAGAAGCATTAATAGTGAAAGGAGCAGCAGAATGTGCAGTGGAATAGAGATGCTTCGTATGGGGTGTACCTGCAGCAGCAGCAGCAGCAGCAGCTGCAGCAGCTGCTGCTGCTGTTCCTGCTGCTGTGTCTGCTGCTGCAGCTGTCTCTGTTGCTGCTTGCAGAGAAGCAATCTTGCTGCTTATTGCTCTATCGAGCCTATCTGAGTCCTCCACAGCTGCAGGAAGCTGGTCTATAAGACAAGCAAAGGAGTGAATCTGTAAGGATGTCATCCTTTACATTTCTCCTCTTGCTGCTCTTCTTTTCCCTGCTGCTGCTGCTGCTGCTGCTGCTGCTGCTGCTGCTGCTGTTGCTGCTGCTGCTGCTGGTCAGGGTGCTGCTGCTGGCGCTGATCCGGGTGTTGCTGGTGCTGCTGGTACTGCTGTCTCGACACGACAGCAGCAGCAGCAGCTAAAGCTGCTGCTGCTGCTGCTGTTGCTGCTGATGCGCCTGATGCTGATACCCCAATACCTCCACTCTCGGCTCGCTGTCTGTACACCGCGGCGGCGGTGGTCACGGTACACCCTGCTGCAGCAGCAGCTAGAGCAGCAGCAGCGCGGGAGAGATAAAACACGGAAATAGACAAGAAAAGGAGGTTAGCAGATTGGTGCAGCAACGAAGAGAGTCGCGCAGAAGACGAAAAAGAGATGAAGAGCAGCGCTGCAGAAGACGTCTGTTGAATGAGGCTCTGTTAAAAGGGAGGAGGGGTAAAGCCAGGAGATAAAGCAGAGAAAATAGAAAGAAATGCAATTAAAAAGAAGAAGAAATGTAGATTTAAAAAGAACTCGCCTAATCTCAGGTGTATGCGCAGCTCTTAAACTCAAGAAGCTGTGCGCAGCGATTTTTCTTCGGTCTGCTTGTAATATTTGACTGATCTGGGTAAATTAAATTAAATTTCAAGAAGAAGTCTCAAACAAAGCCAAAAAAAACAAAGTTATTTCGAAATAAAAGCTGGTTTCTGCGCATGCACAGGCGGCAGACGCTGAGGTGTATGTACAGCTGAAGAGAAGAAGAAGAATATATATATTATATAGCGGTAAAGCGTAGCTAATTGGGAGGCTTGTGTAGGGGTAAAGAAGAGAAATAAATAGAAAATAATTGTATGAATATAATACTTTATGATTTATTGAGTTAAATAAATAAATTAACTCTTTATTTTTATATTATTTCTTCAAACACCCTCCCCGCTATGCCTCTATCTGCTCGCACGCCTGACCGCTGCATCCGCTTGCAGTGTACCGTGTTTGAAGAAGAAAAAACAATTTCTTTATGAAAATGTTTTTAAAATATACTTAATTATCAATATATATTTTATTTTAACTGAAAAAATTTAATTTTCTTCTCCTTTATATTCAAACATAAGCCAAGCAACCGCCAGGCCTCCCCCTAAGCTGCAGCTGCGCGCTCTTGAGTAGACCACCGCTGTTGCTGCACCACTCAGACAGGCTCTATCTTAGCAAGAAGAATTTAATTATTTATTTTATTTATTCTAAACTAATTCCAATCAACAATAAATCTATAAAACTAGCTCTCTTCTTGTCTTCATACACCGCTGCAGCAGCCGGCCGATGCAGCAAGGCGGCAGGCAAGAGAGCTGCTGCAGCAGCAACGGCAGCCTCTCTGCAGCAGCAACAGCAGCAGCAAAACTTTTACTGTGTTTTATTCTTGAGGTGTACGTACACTCCAACATTTTAAGTATATTGCTGGCTTTAAATAAAGAAAAATCTAACGCCTGAAACAAAAGAAGCTGTTGCACGCCTGAGGGGTGTGTGCATCATCATCGTTTCTATTGCGGTGTATATACAGATAATTTCCTTCTTCTTTACTTTTGAATAAAACAATACTGTCTCTTTATTTAATTTATTATGAATATAACTTGAGTTTGTTTTAAAGATAGAAGACAAGAAGTATAATTATAATTATCATAATAATAATCAAGGAGGGTCCGGTGCTGATAATACACATATCGATATATGAAAGTTAAACGGAGACAGCCAGCCAAAATGTAGAAATAAATTATTTAAAAGAAATATAAAAATAAAAATATTACAACACAAATATATACAATAACTTACAATATATTTAAACCTTCTTCATTCAGGTGTCTGTACACCGCAACTCAACAGCGAAGACGCCCGTATGCATATTTTCTTTATAAAACTATTTTAACTTCTTTTAACATTGTATATCTCCTTCTATTGAATTTAGCAATAGAAACAAACAATATGCTGCTGTGGAGAGACCAATATATATATATATATATATTTATATTTATATATTATTTAAATATTATTATATATACGTGCATATGCATGCATATGTATACACATATATATGCATGCACATATGTATTATATTCTGTACGTACATAAATACATATATATATATATTATATACATCTACATATATGTATATATATGTATATGTATATGTCGATATGCAGACATGTGTGGAGGCATATGAAGGAGTCGTCAGGAAAGGATTAGTTTGTTCTGCGTGCAGTTAATGTTTGCTGAATAGAGTTAATCGCATTGCAGATATATGCTTGTATATTTATATTTATTTATTTCATTATATATATGTGTGCGTTTTATTAATATTTATATATCATATATGCTGCACGTATATGTGTGTACATGTTTGTATTTATATTTATGCATCTCATTGTAGATATATGTCTATATTTGTATTTATATTTATTTTTGTATATCTCATTGTATCTATGCCTATAACATTATACTTATATTTATATATACCCCTGTATATATATATATATATATAGATATGTATATACATACATATATATGTATATCTATGCTTATATTTATATCTAAATACCTCATTATATATGCATATATATACATAAATACGTTTTTATTTAAATGTCTAGAGAATAATCATATTGGCTACTTGTCGTTATGTATATGATTAATACAGGCAATCTTCGCCTATGATAAAGGCATAAAGGCCCTTTTTATTGTTTAATTATTATTATTAATCTTATTAATATATTGTATTACTGTTGTTATTATTAATATACACAAAGTTATTGCTATTATTATGATTAGTATCAAGAAACGCTGCAGTTTTTGTTAGCGTTGATATGGAGGTGTCATTACAGTTGAGAACAATGATATAAACAATTATTATGGATTATTATACTATAAGTAGTAATAATAAAGCATTTGATTACTGTTTCAATCTATAATCGGTCATAGACATTTCAGGTGTATAGGCAGGTGCTGCTCGTTGGGGTGTCTGTGGAGGTGTCGATGCGCGGAGGCGGATGCGGTGAATTCGTCGATATTTTGTTTGGATTTCTTTGAATTTCTTTTGAAATAAATATTAAATTGAATTAAATTTGAAAATATATTTCTTAAAACATTCAAATTAATGCTTGATCGGTGTTTTTTTACCCTCACGCCCTATTGCATACTGCTCCAGTAGAGCGGCATCGATGCTTCGAGTTTGTTTGTGAGTATTTTGTGTTTTTGTCTGAAAAAAAGTATTTAAATACAATAAATGTCAGGTTTTCAATATTTATTGCAATAAATAGCTGCATATACACCGCAATGCTGGGGCTGGTGGCGGTGGGCTGTGCGTCGGCAGCGCTGCGCCGTTCGGTTGGCGGTGGAATTGTTCTGCATTTTACTGCATTCAATTTGTTCTCCTTTTTGTGTAAATTCCGAAAATTGAGTTAATTTGCTGCTGAATTATGTATATATATCAACATATAAAGAAAATTTACCCGCAAAAAATAGCTGCTTTCCTGTCTTTCACATACCGTAGCCAGACCGGTGTTCAAGGTGTCTGTACACCTGAAGTGTATATTATTATATGTAGTTGAAGGAGTATTATTTCTTTCCTTTAAAGCTATTATTATAATTATTATTGTTATTCACTGTTCAAAGTATATCTAGGTATATTATTCTTTCTTTTGTCTTTCTTCATCTTATTCTTCTTCTTTTCTTGTCAATATATACACGCCATCATCAACACGCGACTCAACCTTTGCTCGTTTCTTTGCTTTTGTGTGCTTCTTTTTACATCTTTAAAGCACTAAAAAGAATTAAAAATATCTCTAAGCATTAAAAATTTCTTCTTCTCCCCTCAAAGCCCCCCTGGGCTGTTCAACAACCCCACAGTCATACATATACATACATGTATATATTATATACATAATATATATATAATATATATATTATTATCTATATGCATGTACATATATATGTGTACATACACCTAAAAGCTGCTAAAATTAGCTGTCAGTGCCGTGAAAACCTCGTAGCTGCTGCAAAAGAAACCTATCCCTAAACCCTAAACCCTAAACCCTAGAGAATGGCGCTTCCACCCGTCCTTGATGAAGAAAATCTGTACAAATTTAGAACAAAGATATGCGAGAGATACGTCAAGCAAGGAAAATGCGAGTTTGCAGACAAGTAAGAAAATTATATATATAAATATATATAAATATATATTTATTTATTTATTTATTTATTTATTGTTTTGTTGTTTCTTAGAGTATATAAAGTGTCGCTTTACTTGCATTATTTTTGTTTATCTTTTGTTCATTTTATCCCTCTCCCCCTTCTTACGCTTCACCTCAGCTGCTGCTCTTCTTTGCCTCATACATGCATATATATAAGAACACGCATATATATATATATATATATATAAATGCATCTAAATAAACATCTATACACAAGCATAAACAAGCAAAAAGAGTACCTAAACAAAACAACCAACCAGCCAAACAAACAAACTCAACATAAATAAATATATATATATATATACATAATATACATATATACATAATATACATATATATATATATATATATATATATAAATTTGTATGTCTGATTTCAGGTGTCAGTACAGCCACGACTTACGGTGGACGCGACGCCCTCCTTGGAAGTATAATTATTTGCCTCAGTTATGTGCAGACATTTTATTTGTAATTGACGGCAGAGGACGAAATGCAGTGCGGTCAAACTGCAAACAAAAAAGAAACTGCAGATACAGTCACACGAAAGAAGAACAAATGTATCATCCAAGAATATATAAAACGGTATCTATCAATATTATTTATATTGTTTGTTTGTTTGTTTGTTTGTTTATTTAATTGTTTGTTCGCTTAATTGTTTGTTTAATTGTTTGTTTAATTGTTTATTTAATTGTTTATTTATTGATGTATGAATATATACATTTAAAGAAATTGCAGATGTAGTCAT